TGAAAAAAATTGCTAGCAAAATAGATAAAAAATGTCTTTAACATTGTTCTAGTTTTATAGTTAATATGCTCTTCAGCATAAAATTTGTATTATCTGTGAAATGAGCAAAATTCGAAATTATTATGTTAGTAAGACATAATCCAAGTTGTGGCCTTAAATAAGTTAACTAACATTATGGATTTCTTAAAAACTCTAGTTGATAAATAGATAAATAAAAACAAAGTCTTCAAAATTAGCTTTCGAATAAGTTGAGTGTGACAGAGTACTTACTCTTACTATACTCTTGTATGCTGTATCTTTAGATTGATTTGTCGCGATACTTATGCATAAAAGGTTTAATATTTAAACTCATAAAGCGAATAAATTAAACTAAACTTTGTGTAGTTGTCAGGTGTATTCCACATGAAAATCAGAAAATAAGCTGAACCAGAAAATCGGTGGCTTATATATGGAAAAATTAAAGGCTTTCTTTAATCACCTTCATAATCATAAAGGACCACGGCATAGCCAACATAGCCACTGGAGATATTGCTATCAATGCCAGAAGGAACAACAGTAAGGGAACAATTTGCAGCAACCGAGTCCTCTTCGTCGACATCTGAATCGCAAGATTGTGTGCTATCGGCATCATATGAGCTAAATGGAAACAAGGGGTAGGCGAGATAAAGAAGGTCACTTAGTGACAAGGTGCAAGCTAGAAAACAAATAACATATGTAAGACAGGTTAGTCATCAAACTTTAGCTATAAGAATATCAACAATATTGTAATGAAGGGCATTTGGATCTTCCATAAGGGGAATGAATAGGTATCACGATGCAATTAAACTAGCTTTAGAAGCGGTTTGATCTCATTTTTACAACTTGGCCGTGTTGTCAAAGTGACTCAATTGAACGCACCGTGTCCAAAGTCCTCTGCTATAGTAGTTGTGATAATTCCCAGCGTCTTACCATGGATTTGGTACATTCCCATACACCAGCCCTCTCCCTTATACTAAAGATTCCAAAAATACCTTCGAAAGGCCAAAACATTCTCAGTAAGCATTGAATAAGAATAATCCCACAATAAACTTGATTTTGTAGAGGCCTAATTTCCCCGTAATAACCTGTCCCCTATGGCTAGGAGTCGGGGTTCTAGAGTATGACCAGGATGCATGAACTCTGCCTGGAGTGCTAATGAAACCTAGGTTACAGTCCACTATGAATAAGAAAATAATTTGGAGGCATGGATAAGCGAGATTCAATGACACCTCGAGGAAATATTCCAATATCAGCAATTAGATCTGTATAACTGTTAGTGACGATGGAGGCAAATTTTGAGCTGATAGACTAGTTTGTACATGGCTACGGTCGCCAAGTGAAACCTTATGAACAAAGCCACTTTCAAGTTAAAAAATACATGAGCTAAGCGCAGATGGCTTATATAGTAAGAGGTGCAGAACTAATCTCTATCCTAACACATCTACAATAAAAATGTAAGCGATGAATTTCGTAGTAAA